ATAAAAATCTTCCAACAGCAACAAAGACCAAGACCAGATGGCTTCACATCAGAATTCTATCAAATCTTCAGAGATGACCTGGCACCTATATTGCAGAACGTATTCCAAAACACTGAGAAGGAAGGAACCTTCTGCTACATGTTCTATGAAGCAAAAATCACCTTTACTCCAAAACCAGAAAACATCCCCACTAAAAAGAGAACTACAAACCAATTTCACTAATGAAAATTGTTGCAAAAATACTCAACAAAATCTTATTAATAGTTTGCAGCTGCACATTAAATAAACTATGCATCACAATCAAGTAGGCTTCATCCAAGGGACGCAAGGCTTCTTTAACATATGCAAATCCATAAATGTAATACATAATACCAATAAAAGCAAAAAGAAAAACCATATGATCCTCTCAATAGATGCAGAAAAATCTTTTGACAAAATTCACCCTCCTTATCTAAGAAGAACACTTAAGAAAATAGGCATATGTGCCAAATTTCTTAAGCTGATTGAAGCCATCTATGACAAACCCACAGCTAATATCATATTGAAAGGAGAACAACTTAAAGCTTTTCCACTTAGAACTGGAATGAGACAAGGATGTCCACTATCACTAAGATTATCCAAAAATTTTCAGGAAGTTCTAGCCAATGCAATCAGGCAAGAGAAGGATATAAAGGGCATCCAAATGTGGGAAGATGTAACCTCAATTTAACTTTGAGTGCCATTGACTTATGTTTGAAGAAGGCTTCTCAGAGTCCACATGAAGACCTTCATGTTCCTTCAAAGACCGTCTGAACTGATTAGAAAGCTAATCATGCAGGAGGCAGACCCTAAAAGTAGAGTCTGGCTGTCTCAGGAATTTCCTGGAAGTGATCTTGGGAGCAGAGAAATAAGATAAGTTAATGTGCATTTCAGTTAAAGGTTGCACCTGTTTTTTACAGATAAATGGCTGAATAAGTTTTTGTATGGTTTCTTTCTATTTTTATCTGTCGCCAGCTGGTTTTCTATTAGCAAGTGTATGTGCAGAACTTAGTGTTGTTAAGAATATATAAGCTTGCAAAAATTAAAGCTAAGTTGCTCCATGCCTGAGAGAGCTGTAGTCCTTCGCTTCTCTGAACATTGTAACTGCTGACCTTATCTCTGTGACTCTGGCCTTAACTATTACCAGAAATGGGTAGAGGAGGTCAATCTTTCTCTTTTTGCTGATGATATGATCTTACACTTAGGAAACCCCAGAGACTGAATCACAAAACTCCAGAAAGTGATTAGGAAATACAGTAATTTCTCAGGATTTAAAATCAGTGTATTCAAACAGTAGCTTTTGTATATGCCAATTGCAGCCAACTTGAGAATAAAATCAAGGACACAATCTCCTTCACAGTAGCTTCAAAGAAAATTAAATTCTTAGGAATATACTTAACAAAAGAGGTGAAAGATCTTTTCAAAGAGAATTATGAAACCTTAAGGAAAGAAAATGCAGAAGACACTAAGAAATGGAAGAACATGCCATGCCATTGGTGGGAAGAACCAACATTGTCAAAATCTCTACTCTACCCAATGCAGTCCACAACTTCAATGCAATCTCCACTAAAATACCTACATCACATTTTGAAGAACTGGAAAAAATAGTACTTCATTTTGTATTGATCTATAAAAAAAACTTCATACTGCTAAGGCTATTAATAGTAATAATAATAAAAAAAGCCAAAGGTATCACTCTAACAGAGTTAAGGTTATAGTACAAGTCCACAGTAATCAAGACAGCATTGTATTGGCAGAAAAATAGGAAAATAGATATATGGAACCGAATAGAAAAACAACAGTTGAAACCATTCTCTACTTGCCATCTAATCTTTGATAAACCTGGCAAAAGCATACAGTGGGGAAAAGAATCTTTATTCAACAAACGGCACTGGTAGAACTGGATAACCATATATAAAACCCTGAAACTTCACTCACACTTTCACTACTTCCAAAAATTGACTCAAAATGAATAAGAGATGAATCTGACTAAGGATGGATAACTAGAATGTAGAGAGGACTCACATTAATCAACAAAAAAAGTATAAACAATCCCATCTACCACTGGGCAAGAGATGTGAGCAGAAACTTCTCTAATGAAGACAGATTAATGGATAATCCACATTTGAAAAATCCTCATCTTTCCTGATCAACAAAGAAATGAAAGTCAAAACTACCTTGAGATGTGACCTATCTCCCGGTGAGAATAGCCCACATCACAGTGTCTGCACACTGCAGATACTGGCACAGATGTGGAGAGAAGAGAACACTTTTACACTGCTGGTGGAACTACAAACTAATACAACCTTTTTGGAAGAAAGTGTAGAGAATCTGCAAAGAATTCCAATTAGACCTCCCATTTGACCCTGCAATCCCATTAGTAGGCATCTACACAGAGGGAAAAAAAGTTATTTTATCATAAAGGCATTTGCACTAGACTGTTTCTCAAAGATCAATTTATAATCTCCATTATGTGAAAACAACCTGAATGATCACCAGTGCAGGAATGGATTAACAAGCTCTGGTATATTTATACCGTGGAATACTATGTAGCCATTAAAACAATGGAGACTTTACATATTCTATATTAACCTGGATTGAGTTGGAATACATTATTCTTAGTAAAGTATCATGACAATGGAGAAGCAATAATTCAATGTAATCAATTCTTTTTTTTTTTCATTAAATCATACCTGTGTGCATTAATGCAATCATGGGGTACAATGTGCTGGTTTTATATACCATTTGAAATATTTTCATCAAAATGGTTAACATAGCCTTCACAGCATTTTCTTAATTATTGTGTTCAGACATTTATATTCTACACTTAGTAAATTTAGCATGTACCATTTTAAAATGCACCATAGGTATGGCCTCACCAATTACTCTCCCTCCACCCATCCTCCCACCTCCCCTCCCCTCCTTCTCCTCTAATATGAAGGCAGTAGATGCTCTAATACAAGGCAGGGAGTAAGGGAAGGAGTTGTAAGGGTTAACAGAAATATTAAACTACATCCTAAGAGGAAGTGCTAG